TAGTGTTCAAGTTCAGTACGTCATTAAAAGAAAACTTTTTTTTTTTTTTTTCGCTTCACGTTCCTGGGACGTGTTTTTGTTAGCCTGTACACATTTTGGTAGGAGAAACTTGTTTCAAAGCTCTGAACCTCTGAATATGCAAGAATCAAACACTTCCGGCGAATTCTTGATAGTTTTTTTTTCCAACTTTTTATCCCCACATTTATTAATATTGGCACAGGTATTTAGGTCGAAAAGACATAGCTTTGAACTTCCGAACCACTAAGCATGTGACGAGTAGTGCCTTCTGACAAAGAGTTTCTAACAATGACCATCTACGCAATCTTTTATGCAGTGAAGAGCGACAGCATAAATAATTTCAAATTAAAATAAGATCGACCACGCTCTCTTTCCCCGTATTGTTTTCTTTAACAGTCCGGAATGTCTGGAAGGGGGAGAAGGAAGCTGAAGCCCCCCTCCCGCTACCCTCTTTCCCCCCGTTTTTTCTCTTCGGACGCCGCTTGTATGGTAGAACGCTCCTCGACCTCGAGTTGTGTCGGCTTTTTGCGAGGCGATTCCTCCGTCCCAGAAAACAAACCTCCAGGACAATTACAAACTTAACTTAATATATATGCCAGCGTCACTCGGGCGGCGTTCAATCGGATTACTACCAGCGTGCAAGGGGTGGCGAGGTAGTTTGCCAGGTCGCTTCAAGGTTTTTCTGAGCCTCAACCTCCTGCTCGCCCCTGGCCGTTTCGAACTGGATGAGTCTCGTAAAACAGTATGTTCGTGTGATCACTACTTCGTGATGCAGGTTAACCCCCCCCCCCCCGGGCTGGCGGTCACAATTACTGATCTATGGTCACACGTCACTCTGCACTGGCAAATATTCCAGCACATCCGGGACACTCATCGTCTCATTTAATTGCCTGACCAACTTCGCAGAATCTAGATATCACACCCTAACCGCCGAATTCAGAAACCTCACTCAAGCTACACTCAAACTTAAGGGCCCCTCCACTTGCTCGAGGACGGCGCGAGGGCCGGCGCTGGCCAATCGCGACGGCGGATCCGTCCTCGCGATTGGCCAGCGCCGGCCCTCGCGCCTCCCTCGAGGAAGTGGAGGGGCCCTTCAGTTTGAGCGTAGTTTGAGTGAGGTTTCTGAATTCGGTGGTAACTTTTCTAAACTTGATTTTGTGAAAACCAGTGAGTCGTGAAAACGTTATTTGAAACTGAAACTGTTAAGGAACTTGAAAACCGGACTTCGAACTTTGAAAACTTAGACCAGAAAGGAATTCAAAATCTTTTTTTTTTTTTTTTTCGAATTTGGCGTTATAAGAGAATCGAAACATTCGAACTTTTCGAACTTTATGCAGAAAGAAATTTGAAATCTTCGAATTGTTCGAACTTCATGTCTATAAAAATTCGAAGCGTTCGAAGTTTTCGAATTTTATTTCCAAAGAATTCGAAATCTTCGAATTCATCGAACCTGAAGTAAAAAAACATTCGAAATATTCGAATCCGAAATTTTAGAAACCGTGAAAGCTTCAAACTTTTCGAATTCGAAACTCCACTGTGATCGAAAGTTGCGAATTTTTCGAATTCGAACCTCGGTTGGTACGAAAATATCGAACCTCAGTTCGCTTCGCAAGTATCGAAACCTTTCGAAATCGAACTTAGGGTGGTTCGCGACATCCCTATCCAAAACCAGTCGTACGAGGACGGCACCGAGGAATATCGAAGACTCCTTCGGGTGGACCATGTGCGTAACAGCTGCAGCCACAACGAGCGAGGCGATCCCAACGCCACTTTTGACATCTTGCTCGGCAAGATCTGTACAGTTGGCAGACACGCAAATAAAATAGCGGCAATTGCAAAAGGATCCCCCGCCGAGGCGAGGAGCATTTGTGCAGCCCGAGCAAAAGCCCGACGTCGTTACCACGCGACGTGCATCCGGGGCAACAAAGGGAGCGATTCCTTCGCCGTGTGAATAGCCCAGTTGCCTGCAGGTCTGCTGGAGGAAGTAGAACTGGCCGCTGATGGTCGCCTGTGTATGCCAAGTACCCGCCGACGGTTGGCTGGGGACAAAGTACGTTGGACCCAGTCTCGTTTGCTGTGGACAATTGCGCACTACCGCAGGCAACCGGCAAGTCGTAGTCCTAGCGCTCTCTCTCACATCTGCGTTACGCCAAGCAGACGGATTGGGGATCGCACGGTTTGGGGTTCGACTCTCGCCGAGCCCCTCGGTGAATCTCGCTCGTTGCAATTGTGCCCAGTTACCATTATTATGGCTAAGCATGCCTCGTATATGCTCCCAAGTAAGGTTATAAATTGGGCCAGTTGGCAACGATTAAACACTACGAGAAACAGCCTCGGTGAACACGGACAACGAAGAGGAAACAAACACGATTGCTGTGGGAAGACACCGAGACGGAATGACTCGAGAAATAACTGAAGCTTTCTTTATTAGAGCGCAGCTCTTAGGCGCCCGTTTCTGGCTTGAGCGGCGTCAGCGTAACTGCGCAGTGCATTATGGGACGTTTCCCACGATGTCACACGTGATGTCACAAGGGTCACCAGCGATGTCATGGATGATGTCCCGCATGCCGTCACGAGGGTCAGTGACATCACCGTGTGTTGCATTATGGGTAAATTTCCCCGCTAAATTTAGCGGAAAAGATTTCCCGCTAAACTTAGCAGAAAAAATTTCCCGCTAAATTTAGCGGAAAAAATTCCCCGCTAAATTTAGCGGAAAACCTTCCCCGCTAAATTGCCCCTAAATGGGAGGCGAGGATGAGGTGCCTAGCTTCCTCTCCGTACCTTCCCCTCCCTCAAGAGCTGCGCTCCAATTCGGCAGGGGATCCAAACTTCTCATTTTTTTCTTCATTGGCAGAGTCAGGGAACCGTCAGTGGCGTTATCCGAGAAGGAGATAACGTACCTTCGGTCAAGTGCCAATTTGTGAGGCGTCCTTCTGTTGCCCCGCAGGTGTGCGTCCTAATCTGCGCGTGGAATCCGTTTAAAAGTTTCCTTCGTTCCTTTTGCGTAGAATCAACTTCAGCTGCAAATCGGCCGTTGTCCCGTCGTGTTCGTTTCCTCTTCGTCGTCCGTGTTCACCGAGGCCGTTTTTCATTGTGCTCTCTATGCTCCACTGTTTATGTGTCGGCTGCTACGGGTCATGCATGTCCTACATAGCCTACGTGAGACACTTTTTCATTGCGCTAGAGCGTTGCGCTTTTTGCGTAAAACTGGGTCCATAAACACTTTCTTCGTTAAAACAAACCGCAGCTTTTTTCGTGAATCGCGCGGCTGAATTTAGCGATGGTTTGCAAATGCTTCTGCAGGATGCCCACTTTTTGATAAACTGTTCCACAGAATTCCCGCAAACTGTATGACCAAACAAGTCTGTATGGAAATGCTGCTAGAAATATGGAGACCTACGATAGGTTAAGTGTTTGGAGGAAGCTCCACCCACCTGCACTTTAGCAGAGCAAACGCTGGAGGGGTCGTCTCCTCTCTAGCGTTTGCTCTGCTCAAGCGCCAGGAAGAGTCTCGCCATCGGAAACAATTTCTTGCAGCTGCAGGCACACGTGCGCCGCAACACGACGCAGGAGCCAGGTCGGCATTGCTGGTTGTCCCCATAAGATCCGTGCAGGCCACTGCACCTCACTGGCTGCAGTCCAAATAGAATCGGTTCACCTCGTCGAGACATTTACCTCTCGACCGACACGTTGGATCTACAAGTTTTATCCATCGGAAGGCTGGTGCACAAAACTACGTTATACTGGTACCAATGTTGCTAAACCACTCGGTTGGGAAACTGCCACGGAGACTGCTCTGAAAAAGTGTCCCAGATCTGTCCTCGAGCACCGAGCTAATGGCAAACACAACGCCGCCATTTCTCCCGCAGCAGCCACTCGAGGAACTGCACGCGACGTCTATTTTGGCTTAATCTGGCATTTTAACGGCGAAACAGATACAGCGGAAAGGGTTACAGGAGTGCCACCCCCGTCTCCCCAGCGGACGCGCCGCGTCTTACTAACCAAGTTAAAATGCACTTAGGTCGGGACGCGCTACCTGAAAGTACAGCTGGGGCATGGTTGTATAAAAACAATATTAATTGTGCCGCAAAACCCCGCAAATTAAAGATTTTAAAAACATCACGCGCCCTTCATTTTGTACTAAACTCCAATAAATCTCATGCAAAGAGAGTTGTTTCCGTTTGTTTTTATGCAAAAACATGCTTTCCAAAAGCTCAATGTGACCACAGTACAGACAAATGATAAAGAGTGGCGCTGTTGTAGTTTTTAGCTCGGTCTCGGTGGACGCCAGCGGCCCACGTTTCGACGGAGAGTTTCCCAACCGAGTGTTCTAGTAACGTTGACTGGTACAGACCGTTTGTGAAGAGGTCCAGCATTGCAGGATTGTCACCGAGGAAAGCGTGCACCAACATTTGTAACAGCAGCATCTCCTTTGTGGAATGCATAGTGAATATAGTACAGAGCAACAGCACAAAGGAGCCACCGTTTCCTTTTTTAAACTGAAAGGCCGACATGAGAAGCTCGGAGGAAAGCGCTCGTTCGGGGCACTAACCCAACAGTTCAGTTCCATACTCCTGCATCCGCTGCCCAAACAAAATGCAAGCATCCAGATTGTATTTTCGTTAAACAGAGTGGCTCAGCTCAATATCAGCTCTCACTCATCCAGAAATTGAGGTGTCATCACCAAGTTGTCCAGCCTGGCTTTTTCTCAGTCCCAACCATTGCTAGTAACGATAAACCACTATAATAATGCAGATACGTATAATTCTAGGCCATGTCCCAATATTTATAAATATAATAATTTCGAAAGTCAATTGGACGAGATGCCAATTACTAACCGTGTTGACTGCAAGTTTGACCTTGACGTGCATTTTGATTATGTAGAGCTCGCGCATCTTTTTTAATAAATCTGTCGTGGTATTCAGTTGACCTACTTGTATCTGGACACACCTCCGTACCAGATGGAAGGCAAAGAAACGGAGTCCACCGAAAAATCTAGTACCTTTATTCGCTCCATACCAGAATAAATTACAGGTGCAGCTCCTATTTACAGGTATAGATGTCTCCCGACGGCACTGTGAGGATCCAGGGGCCAGCTCGCAATTGGGCAGAGCCCTTGCAGGAGCGGGTTGGAGAGCATCGCGTTAAGAAATCGAGGCAGCGTTTGCTTCAGATTGGGGAAAAAAATGTACCGCAGGCGTGCTTCTGCAGCAGGTATTAAGCCTGGGCCTAGAGACGCAAGGAACTTGGGCAGCATTATGTCGATATTAAGAACAAATAAAGCAATCTTTAGAAGTAAGCGTTGGAAGAAGCATTCTTAAGCGACTCCAGCAGAAGCTTCTGCAGCCATTAAGCGTGTCTCGTAAGTACGGGGCAGTCGGAGGGAATGTGCAAGCTGCACGAAAGCGAGGTGTCACCCTCGCTAAGCTTTGCAAGCCGCAGTAGGTGCACTGGGAGCACCGCGCGGGAGTCGGCACAAATCGCCGTACATATCTACAACGACCGCCGGTTTCGAGCGTCCGCGTCGAATTTGCAGAAACTAACGACGGCAGCAACGAGTTTGCGGGAGCAGCGCGAGGCAACAGGCGCCAGTGACAGAGGGGCCGATCTCTCCGCTCGCGACAGACCCATCGCGGATCGAGAAGAGAACGGGGACGCATCATTTAGACTCGCAATTTTCTTTCACGGCAACTTCTCACGGCGGTTACCACGCAGTTTACGGCGAAAGAATAGCGCCGACGCGCACGTTGACGAAACGGCCTTTGCGGTGCCCCCAAAAGAAATCAGCTAACGAGTTATGCCCGAGAGACAACCTCTATTCCACGCAAGACGAAAACGCCGCCGCAATTTTTGACTCTCAACTGACTGCCCCATCCACTAGGATGCAGCCGGAACGGCGTAGACAAAAGAGGCTAGAAAGGTTGAAGCGACCCAACAAAAGATTGTCCCGCAGAGGCGCGGCTCGGGGGACCCGACTTTTTACCCTTATTGCCCGAGGACGAGACCCCGACCGACTCGATGGCGGGCCGGCCGGGCAACCGTGACGGAGCAGCGAGTCTTCCTCCCCATTCCGCCGCAGTGGACTAGCCCTGGCGCCGCACGGTCGGGAGGACCCGGCCCGCCCGAGGCCAGCTAGCTCGCGCACTTGCCGCCAGCCGCTCGTCCCGGGGACGTCCCGCAGAAGGACCGCAAGTCGGCCCCGAAACACGGGGCCCGCCTCCGTGGAACCTGCGGAAGGTGGCCCCGGGGGCCGAGCGGGGGCGGGCTCAGAGCGTGTGGTAGTTGCGCTCTGTGCGTGCCTTGTAGAACTTGAAGCCCACGTAGAGGATGGCCAGGCAACCCAGGGACAGGATGATGCCCCCGACGAAGCTGAGGGCGTCGAAGTGCCGCTCGGGCAGCTGGCCCGAGGGGGCCGCAGTCGGCACCGACGCGGGGGTCGTGGGCGCCTCCGTCCCGTTGGTGGTGGTCGACGGGGGAGCCACCGTCGTCCCGTTGGTGGTGGGCACCGGGGGAGCCACCGTCGTCCCATTGGTGGTGGGCACCGGGGGAGCCACCGTCGTCCCGTTGGTGGTGGGCACCGGGGGAGCCACCGTCGTCCCATTAGGAGTCGTCACCGGGGGTTCGACGGTTGTCTCGTTCTTCTGGGGTGCCGAGGGTACAGACACCGCCTCGTTGGGCGAGGTCGGAACGGTCGTAGGCACGTCCGGAAGGTCGGCACCTGCAGTGACGGGGCTTTGCTGAGTGAACAAGGAAGTGCCAAGATGTCATAGGCTGCACCGGACACGCCGGTGTGCGACATTCGATCCCAGCTGTGCCGCACTGACAAAAGGGTGGACAGACAACTCGTAGTCTTTCGCTCATACTCCGCCCAGTGCTCCGCGTTTCCAGAGATCAATATACGACCATAGTCTTTCGGGGTTCATCCTTGGCTCGGACAATGTCTGCCCACAATGCGGCCGTGCACTAGCGCAGAGATGGCCGGAAGCGAGCAGGGAGTGTCCGAGCAAGGGCACGCACTGGCGACCCGTGCAACGGCTCGTCACACAGGACTCAAATACCGCCCTGCAGAGAGGGCAGAACCCGGCAGTTTCAAGAAGTGCCCCTCCACAGGCAACAGCTGCCTAGAGCTGCGGTTTTCAAACTGTGGTCCACGGAACCGTCATCAAGAGCGTTCGTAAAAGTCCTTGCCAAGCAAAGAAAAAAAAAAAACTCTCGACATTGCATTTTTGATGCGGAATGCATCGGGGGTCCCCGAACAGCCTCCGAGTGAGTCGGAGGGTCCGTGACGGCCAAAAGTTTGAGAGCGGCTAGACTAGAGGGCTACCTGCATTCCTCGGTGTCGGTGGCCGTCGTGGACCATCTCATACCCGGAACTTACGAGACCCGCCACCTTTTACCACCGAGTGATGACACGCCCTTTCTCGGACCACTCAAGTACACATCCGACAAAATTGTTTCAAAACCGGTGCATCTACCGAGTGAGCAAAGAGAGCTGGACTGGCAAGATCCACTTTGTGGGTTTTTCTTGGCCAGAAGTCAGCACCATACTCCTGATAGTGATAGTGATAGTACTTTATTGCACTTAAAAGTTTGTGGTGCCGTTCGGTGTGCAGGTGAGGAGGGAAAGGCGTGCGCCCATACACATATTGTGCCCCTTTCACCAACCGGACGGCGCTATGAAGACTATTTTAGTTCTTATAAAAACTAATCAAGACAAAAAAAAAAAACATGTTTTTCCACGCACGCACGCACACACACACACACACACACAACACGCACGCACGCACGCACGCGCGCGCGCGCGCACACACACACACACACACACACACACACACACACACACAGGTGATTATGCTATTGTCCGAGTAACTGTTCTACACAACTCGCGGATGTCGTCTCGGTTGCAGGGGATTGACTCCGTGAGGTGGTGTGGGAGTGACCTCCTTGTGGACTGGGACAATTTCGCACTCGTCTCGCCCAAAGGTAAAAAAAGCGCATTCTGTTTCAACCCTGGCCATGCTCCGTCCACCTGAATCAAAAGCTCCCCGTCATGTTCCGGCCTCTCATTCAGTCGGAAAGGTCCCTCAAGTGACAGGTGGGTGGTTCTAAGCGCGGTGCTGGCAAGGTCTGGGGGATCGACGAGAGATAAGGCACGAGGTAGCGGCACAGGCCACGTCAGGCGTACTTTCCCGGCTTATCACCGGGGGGACGTCAGCCCTTCGAGGAGGGGGGCGTCTTTCGGACAGCATTCTTGGCCGTCTCGTGGTTGCTTCCAACAGTGCCTGATGGAGCGAACTCGTCACGCAGCCCCGACCCGCAGTCGGGACTCGCAAGTGTGACTCGCAAGTGTGACTCGGGGCGGAGCCGTTAGCACAGACAGCCGCGCTCTGCTAGGGCGGTCGTTCAACCGCGTGCAACTGCGGGACGATCGGCGAAAGGCTTAAAAGAAGCCTCGCTGCGCACTCACCCAACACGCAGTGTGCGAGCGCGCACAGCAGCACTGCGACGGCGGCGAGCTTCATGCTTGGCGCGAAGCAGCTTGCGTTCACGCCCGGATGGGAACTGGGAAGAGGACAGCACCGCTGGCGCGACGGCCGTCGTCAGAAACGCATGCGGGAACACGGCCCGAGGGAGACGGAAAAACAGCTCGGTGGCTCGGTCGCTGTCACAGTCAACGTTGGCCACAGTGGTCGCTACTGCGCTGGCTGGATAAATGAATGGACGGCTGTACCCTTTTTAATAGGCGGTAGCTTGCGTCACCTAGCCTAGAAGCTAAAATTATGATACCTCCGCCCGAAGCGCGTGAACGCTTCTCCGGTCGCCCCATTCGTGCGGAGAGGAGGGCGCAATCGGAAAAAGACGAAAAAGAGAAGAAGGCCGCGCCTCTTCGCGGGGAGGCGTGCGTAGTCGCCAAGTGAATTGTAAGCGGAAGGACCAGTGAGGATGAGTGCACTCAAAAATATAAACTGATTTTTCTTCTATTTCCATTGACTTTTCACTTATGCCCCTTATGCCCAACGGCTACGCCCCCGAGTGCGAGAAATTGACGCGGCCTCGGTTCGCGTTACAATAGTAATAATATATATATATATATATATATTTTCTTTTTGAGGGCATCAAAACCTGCCCTCGCGTTATATTCGTGCAAATACGGGTATGTCACTGCTCGAAACCAAAACTGGGGAGGAAGAATAAATATAGAAAAGGAGAAAGATAACAAAAGTCCCGTAACTCTGCAACCTTTTTTTTTTCTTTTTTTAATCATGCATTTGCAGTTTTTTAGAAGCCTCCAAAAATGGGTATCATATTTTTTGTCCATTTCTAGTCTTGAGCGTGTGCCTTCTATGACCTTTGACTTAGATTGTCTTTGGTGGTTGTGTCTAAACCATAGAAAACGGCCCGTGACCACAGAGAAGAGAGCACTGATCTCTAGTGTCATATAGCGAGTTCGTTTCACACGCACTGGCACCGTTCGAGTTCTCTCCCAGAATGCATCGCACTCACAGAGTGTTGCACGGAAAACTGGACTCAAACGAACTCGCCAAATGCACCGAGTGCAGAAGACTGATGCTGCCGCCATCTATGTTGTAGAAAAGGCACCGACTTCAAACCGAAACTAGCGCCTTTCTGTTCGGAGTGATGCGTGGGAATGCGTGAATGCAGTCGCTACCAACGTTTATCTACGAACGTTGGTCGCTGCAACCTGTAGTTTATAGTTGCGATGACTTCAAGCAGCTCGGCTGCCGTAGAGGTAGTTACAGACGGCGTAAATTTCCGCAACCAGCTGTCTACAAAGCAGCTGGTTATTCTTATAACCGTTTACACTGAAGAAAACTGATGATGCTGTCCGAGCAGAAGCTTGATCCGTTTGAGCATGGTATTATGCGTGAACCACTGAAAGGGTACGGCTTAAAACTAGCCTGTTGGAATATCCAGCAAAACTGGGACTTTCGATTTGGATCGTCATTATAGGTGGATCAGATATTAGCCTTGGTGAGGGCGTCGAGAACGAGAGCTTTCTCGGACAAAATACGGCGGGGCAAGTTATCTGACGTAGGTAAATGTTAAACATGATGATGTTGCCCAATCCTCGGGTAAAGTTACCATCTTTAGCTTTCTCTGATGCTTATTGGGTAGTCAGAAGGTTTCTGCTGGGGGAGTTTTGTCGACAAATGTTAAATTTTTCACCCGCACACGGATGGTGATAGACATCTCGGGGGCCGCTGTTACGTTTGTTTTGAGCATTTCTTTACACACTGGTATATTCCAGCGTTTGTACGGCAACAGAGCGATTTAAAACCTGCAAATAAATCACGGGTTGTCAATTGCTTTCTTCGGGAAATAGCAGACGCTCACAATTCAAGCTCGCGTTTGATTTCGTTGCCCGCGGGACGCGATTTCTATCAGAAAATCTACTTTTTTTCCTTTCGGTTCCGCGACACATCGTAGCAGACGAACGCTCGTCGTCTGCTCCCGCTCCTCGCCGGCCCCGCCGGAGCGAGGCATGACGGGATTGCATTTTGGCGCACTCCCGATTTTCTCGGTGCAGCGAGTGCATGCACGCGTGGGGTGTCAGCGCTGAAACGAACTCGGAGAGTGCAACCACTCGTGGAGTGCCGGCCGAAACGAACCCGTTCCACGCTGCGAGTGGGCACGCGTGGGCACGAGTGCCGTGAAACGAACTCGCTAATAGAGATCAGTGGAAGAGAGTGAGCGCGACTCAAAGCGGCTAGGGGTGTCGCGAACTTTTGTCGACCAGATATTTTGGTCGAACTTCCGGGGTTCGACTGGGTCGAACCGGTTCGACGAACCTTCGAACTTTTAACCAGATTCGACCGGTTTGACTTTGTGGACAGTGTGGCCAGACCTTTATAAAAGCATGTCTAAGTTTGGAGAAATGTTTTTTATGCGAAGGGTTATCTTTAAATTTATGAACAGTTGCAATTAAAGAAACCAATTTTAATCACTGAAGAAGTTAATACCTTAATTGTTTTGTGCTGTATTAACTGAAATAACCAATCAGCGCTGCACTTAATTCATCTCTTAGCCATTATCATCCAGTTCGAAGCCAACTGGCCAGCCTGTCGCGCATGCGCACACGAGTCGAACCTCAATAGAAGGTTCGTCGAAATTTCCACAAAAAGTTCGAAAAAGTCGAACCTGGTCGAACTCGAACTGCGGCCGGTTCGCGACACCCCTAAAAGCGGCCAGTTCTCAATCGGCGGTTTTCGGGCGGAAGGAATTTTGAGCCGCAAATTGCGTTCTGGGCAGCTGGGCTCTAAGAAAGCCGTTTACAACTTTTTGTAATGCCGAATTAGAGCGCAGCTCTTGAGGAGGAGGAGGGAAGGGTACTGAGGGTCACGTGTTCTCGGGAGGGGGGGGGGGGGGGTCACGTGACCTGGGGGGGGGGGGTCGCGTGTCCTGGGGGGCAGGTTACGTGACCCACCAGAGGAATTTTTGTGCTAGATTTAGCAGGAAAATTTATCCATAATGCACCGCGCGGTTGCGCCGACGGCGACGCGGCTGAAGCCGGAAACGGGCGCTTAAGAGCTGCGCTCTAAAACCTCAATGAGCGTAAATTTCCTGTTAGTGTCCCTAATTTTCGGTACATGCGAGCTTGTCAACAGACATTTTATCGGAGAGTCCTGAACAAACAAAAACCCACGAACTAAGAAAAAAAGAAAAAGTACATTTTGAGAGACTGTGTCAGATGCAATGTTTCGACAGCTCAGATCAGCTTCGTTCTGTAATAAGCTGCGTCAGACTGTCGCCTCGAAGCGGCGTAAACGGGGCGGCCGGATGGGTTAACACGCACCCCAGTGAAACACGCACATTGAAATGTTCCTACAGCATGCAATTCATGTAACGGGTGTCGACGAAACACGTTCATGAAAAGTTGTCTCCAAATTGTAATTCCACGAAACGATAGGGACCCCTCCAGAATGAAAGGGATCTAATTCTAACATGGAACCGAACATAAGATTGGGTTCCACGTCAATTTCGAAGTTCGAGAACCAGATTTTCTTTTCAGCATGCAATACTGTTCGTGACACGATTAAAGCAAACCGTGAAACAAATATAGAGTGAAACCAAATACGATATAGCTTCGCCAATACTGGAAACTCCTCCGAAAACCTATGGGAGCGGCGGCAAACGCGACAGCGGCGCCCAGAGGTCGGCATTTTAGGTCGCCCTCACTCACCCTCACCCTCACAGCCACACTCACCCTCACCCTCACAGCTACACTCACCCTCATCCTCACAGTCACACTCACCTTCAGTCCTTCCCTCACCCTCACTGAACCTCACGCTGTCACACTCACGGCCCTCACGCACTCATGGCCCTCACGCCAGAGCCGTATATGCAGAGAGTTTGGCCATTCGTTGGGAAGTATAGGAGACAAATGAGGAGGCGCCATTGGCCGAAAGCGGGCTGGGCGTGTTCCAGGGCGTCTTCAGAAATTCGAATGTGACCAACCAGAAGCCGGAAATAATACCCTGGTGGTAGTCGCGAGAAACAAACCTGATAACTGCATTGGAGTAACTCTCGATGGATGAAAATATGGTACACGTGATGTTTCAATCACAATCATCCAAAATGATGGTGGAAGAATGCGACTAACGGAATGATCGACATAATCCATACGCCAAACGCCGAGGGCCGGGAATCTGCCGTCAGAGCGGTCACACTCTGTCCGCGCAAAATAGAGTTGAGCGGCGCATTCGTTTCTTACATCTTTCTGCATGATCATGATGAAAACAACACGTGTACCCTATTTTCAACCACAAAGAGTTACTACACTTCACTCTTACGCACTTATTAAAACCATATACGAACATAGACCTTCGATGATCGATCGGCTCAGAACTGTTTTTCGCAACCACCGCTAGGGGATTCTTTTCGGCTTCTGGTTGGTCAAGAGAGCATGCCAAGCCCTCTTTCCGAGTCTGCCGCACGCCCCGACTCTGCCCGCACCTCCCATTGACCAAACTCTCTACATATACGGCTCTGCCTCACGCCACTCACCGCCCTCATAACCCTCACGCCACTCACCACCCTCACGCACTCATAGTCCTCACACCACTCACAGCCCTCACGCACTCATAGCCCACGCCACTCACCGCCCTCACCACCCTCGCGGCCCTCACACCCCTCATGCACTCATGGCCCTCACGCCACTCAGGCCAGCTTCAGATGGGGCAATTTCGCCCAGAAACTTGACGTCGCAACACCAACAATACGGGCCACCCGCGATCACACGCAGCAACCAATTGCTGCAAATTGCCATCGTCATCATAAAATTTGTTTTCTTGCACTATTTTTACGCATCTAAATCTCGTTAAGAATACTAATGCACCTCTCTGAAACAATTTACTTCAAAAAACGATCGATTTCAAATCAGAACCAAGTCTTTCGGTGTCATCATCTCCGGCACGAGGTATCACGTGAAAATTTTGCATCCCTGATTAGATGCAGCCGCTTCAAACGTCTTCGAATTGCTCCGAGTTGATTGCTTATTTTGAGCCGGACCCGATCTCAGCTATTTGTGTCGATCTAGGGAAAGCTAGAGAACAACCCGCCATCAACACCAAAATTGCTGAGAAAGATGCTCCGTCTGAAGGGGGCCTCACGCACTCACTGCCCTTACGCACTCATGGCCCTCACACCCCTCATGCACTCACGGCCCTCACGCCTCTCACTGCCCTCACGCACTCATGGCCCTCACACCCCTCCCGCACTCATGGCCCTCACGCACTCACACCCCTCACGCACTCATGGCCCTCACGCCCCACACACTCATGGCCCTCATACCCCTCACTGCCCTCACGCACTCATGGCCCT